ATATTAAAATGGAAATGATAGTTGTTTAAGACGCAACTATAGGTCACCGCTTTTAAGTGAACAAAACCCATACTGTAAAAAATCAGAATATAAAATGGTCGAGGTCATGTGAAAATTTCCAACTAATATAGAACTTGCATGAATTATTCTTAAATAAATAGGAAACAATATTAGTATGTCTACCTTGCTGGAGGAAAAATTTTAAATGGGACTTTCTTTGGCTTGGACTCTTTTATTGCTCTCCGTCGTTTGCTAGTATATGTTTCTCTAATGATAAAGAGTGCGATTTCCTGGGATTCCCGTGCTAATAGCGATTGTCTAGCGATTAAAAATTCTAACGATTCGTCTACGTATGCTTTATGAAACGCACGTAAACGTAATCGTTATGTAGTCGTTAATTACACGCTAAAATCTACGTTTGTTGTTATTAGCGATTGTTTTATGAAACGGCAGCCTGGACTTGTGGGGCTTTGTTGCGACATTGGTATCGTAATTAAATTTAGTTCCTTCTCTTCGTACACATTTAGATACTAATAACCGATATGTTTTGCCGTAACACTAGTGTCCCAGGTTTGAGGGAAGGGTTAACGCCTTCAAACATGTTTACCCCATCAACATTCTTTATATGAACTGTCCCAAATCAGAAGCATGCAGATATTTGGTTGTCGTTTGCTCATGTTTGTCAAATTGGTTTTTCGTAAATTGTTTTATTATCAATTAAGCCGTTAACTTTCTCACTTAAACTGTTTCATATTTTTCATGTCGAGGCCTATTATGGGCGACTACAATGTATACGGTATGGTGTTTTATCATTGAAGGTAGTATGGTTGCCCATAGTTGCTTACATCCACTTCATTTGAACTTCATACCACATCTCCTTATTTTCATTTTGTGTCCAAATTATATAGTTTAAAACTTTTTTAGTTCCATTGATATATCTTTTATTAAAGACAATAAATATTTTTTTTTACTTTTTATTGTGTAAATACATACTTCACAATCTTGATAACAGCAATAATTTACCAGATTTTTTTTTTTATTTTCAGAATTGTCGATAAAATATATATTAGCATATACATCAGCAGCAGTTGGTTGTTTCGTACTTGAAATTGTATTAGCTTACTATAAATGGAGAAAAGTATCTGAGAATCATAAAAAATTCAGGACATATCGAATAGTTAATATTGATCCAACAGACGTACACATTAGAGGCGAAGCTTTATACGAAACTATCGATGTCAACATAATGAATCAAAATAACAATCTCGTTATTGACCCTGAAAGTAGTACTAAGGACGTCGCAAATGAAACTCACGAGGTTAGATTTCATTGGGGAATGCAGAATGCTTAAATTCATATTTGGAATTTGTTTCGTAATTGAACCAAGCAAATGCTTCTTATTGCTAATGATTGATATACAGACAAAATATGAACAATGAAACTCAGACCAAACAACACAATTTATAGGAATCGCTGTGAGGACAGATAATTTTGTTGACTGAAAGGAACGTCCATATCAGTCAAAATTGTATTGGCGCTTTTTTGTAGGGTTTAAACCGCGATGAGCATGATAGATGCAAAATACTGTAAATTCAGAAATGTATACATTTGCTTATTGTTGCGAATGATGAACCAAAGATAATAACTTAAGATGAAATTTTTCGATTAAAAGAAATGCTAATTACAAAAAATATCATCTAAAAACCATAATGCGATTTTTTTTTTTTTGCAAAAACTACCTCATTGCATCTTGCAATATATTTACGCACGAATTTTTAAAAGTGACTGAATCTTGCATTCCGAAAAAAGAAGTAATTATTCGATCTAATGATAAAATCTGGTTTAATTCAAATCTCCGTAAAGAAATAAGAAAACGAAACAGATTTCGGAAAATATTTAAAAAAAATAAAAGCACTACAAACGAAAAGAAATTAAGAAACCAAAGGAATCGAGTGAATAATTTGAAGAAACAAATTAAACAAAACTTTCATGAAAATATTAATGAAAACTTAAATGAACTCAAGCAAACAAATAGTAGAGTATATTGGAAAATCATAAACTCCTTATTAAAAGAAGACAGATCTTCAAATGATATTCTACCGATGCAAAACCCTAGTAATAATTTTGAATTTTCTTATGATGCAAAAGAAAAAGTTGATATTCTAAATATATATTTTTGTTCAATAGCTAGTCTAGATGAAGAAAACAAAAATTTGCCTGACTTCGATGATAGAGGTATTAACGTTTTGTCAGAAATTACTGTAACTTTAGAAGACGTTAAAGATATTATTTCTATTTTAGATCCAAATAAAGCTGTTGGTCCAGACAAAATCAGTAATAGAATGCTTATAACAGTAAAAAATGAAATTGCATTTCCCTTATGTATTCTTTTTAATGAATCGCTCTCTCAAAATATATTTCCTAAAGATTGGAAATTGGCATATGTTATTCCTTTATTTAAAAATGGAGATAAGTCAATGCCGTCTAATTATAGACCAGTATCACTTCTTTCTTGCGTGAGCAAGGTACTAGAAAAAATAATATATAAACATATGTTCAATCATTTAGTGTCTAATAAATTTTTGTATAAATTTCAGTCTGGTTTCATACCCGGCTGCTCTACTTTTCATCAACTAATTGAGTTGTACCATTCTATCGTGTATGCTTTAGACAATAAATTTTATAAAAGTTTAACTTTTGCTGATGTTAGCAAGGCATTCGATCGAGTTTGGATAAGGGGCCTACTTCACAAGTTAGAAAGATATGGTATAAAAGGCAATCTGTTAATATGGCTTGAAAGTTACTTAACAAATAGAACTCAGAGGGTAGTATTAAAAGAGGCGACTTCCGAATTAGGTAATCTTAAAGCTGGTGTTCCACAGGGTTCGGTACTGGGTCCTCTTTTATTTCTAATATTCATTATTGACATTGCAGATAATATGATTGGATTAAGTAGAATGTTTGCAGACGATACACCTATTGGACATACTGCTCCAGATGAAACTACTCTTCAATCTATGATAAATAAAACTAATATCATGTTGTTAAGTAACAAAAATTCAAAAAATAACTTGATTTATGATTTTGGCGGAGTTCAGGTAGATACAGTTACTAGTCACAAACATTTAGGTATATTTTTTAGCAGTGACGGTAAGTGGACCAAGCATATTGATTCTTTAATAGAAAAGGTATCAAAAAAATTAAATGTTCTTAGACGTTTGAAATTCCGACTAAAAAGGGAATATTTAGAAAAGATATATTTAACTTTTATTAGGCCCGTTCTAGAATATTCTTCTGAAGTTTGGGATAATTGCGAACAGTTGAATTCTGAAAGATTAGAAAAATTACAACCGGAAGCAGCACGTATTGTCACTGGTTTAACAAGCTATGCTAGCACTCAATCACTTTATTTAGAGACGGGATGGGAAAAGTTAAAGATTAGACGGGAAGTTAAGAAATTAACTTTATTTTACAAAATTATGAAAGAGGACGCTCCAGAATACTTATTAGATTTAATACCCCATACAGTTGAAGAAACAAACAATTACAATATACGAAACAGTCAAAATATATACCAAAGCTCTAGCAGACTGTCCCTTTATCAAGAATCATTTATTCCATCTAGTATTAAACTGTGGAATTCGCTCGATTTAAGTATTAGAAATGAACTGTCTTTAAATATGTTTAAACTAAAAATTAAACAGAAATATTATAAAAACAAATCACCCCCTACATATTTCTCTATTGGCGATAGATATTTAAATGTTTTGCACGCAAGATTAAGAAACAAATGCAGTGCCCTTAACATGGATCTGTATCACGCAAATATTAAATCTAGCATGCAATGTGTCAATGTGGTTATTTATATGAAAATGCTCAACATTATTTCCTTTCATGTAAAAATTATACAGCTCAAAGGAATATCTTATTCTTTGAACTTAGAAAAGAAAATATACCTACTGATTTGGAAACTTTAATGTACGGTTATGATATGTTTAATATGAACATAAACACGCTAAGTTTTACAAAAGTGCAGAATTATATCAAAGAGACCAATCGCTTTTCATAGTGTATAGACATTACGGTTAAATATATAACAATAATAACATGAATAATGTAATTACTTTTTGTTGACTTCGAATGAAATTGTTAATTTTTTCCAAAGACATGGATCATCAATTTGGTTTTACATACAAAATCCTATCAATTGACAACAACAATTTAATTTAATTGCTTTAAAATAATAACTTACCTTTTGAGTGAATATTTATTCCAAATTTAATACAACCTACTAGGTCTATCATAAATAAATTGACGGTCAACTCGACTTTTAGAAATCGATGAGCCATGTCGTTTAAGTTCTTGTTAATTTCATGTCTCCATATTAATATTGTTTATGATGTTATTATTATGTATTTTATTTTGTTCGGTTATTTATTATTTGTCTGTAATGGAGAAGACGTTCTAAGTTTCAAAACTTGTGTCTAATCCTATTGTCAATGTTTTTGGACAATAAAATATGTTTAAATTACCTCATTGGAAATCTCGCAATAATACAACATATGGGTTCATTTTGGTATTCTTCCGACCGGTGTCCTTTAGCCATTTCCCCCACAATATTTTTTCCGGGTAGAAGAATTGTATGACCGTTCTTTTTCCTTCCGAACCCTTATTGCAATACCTGTTATTATTTTAGTGGTAATTGGTTCTTGTCTTCAATACGCGTGAATGATTTGCCCCCTAGAATCAAAGCAAACAATGATAAATGAATTCCAAACTTTAAGCTAGGTTAATATGTAGTTGTACTAAGTGGACAACCAGTTGATTCTGAACTAGAGGCCTGTTAGATTTACAATAAGTGTGAAATAAAATATATGAATTTATAATTATTATCACACATGAACAGAAATTTCGCTTTGCGAACTGCTGTCAAGGATACCTCATGAGGCTGAAAATTACGCTATTTTGAACTGAAAACGGCATCATTTTACCATTTTGACCCTGCCATACCTTTCTTGTATCCAATGTTAACATCAGTTGTTTTTTCAAGTATTTTCTAAACTGTATGTTTGTGTAAAATCTTGCCATGCTATTTTTCACGGATGTCAAGCCATCACTATCCGCCTACTTAATATTGCTGTCATCACTACAAATACCGCAACGTATGTTTAGTACATTTCATCCTTAATTATTAGTTTTGATATCGTTTATCTTGCTCTATTTTTCATTTTACATCTGGGTGATTCATACTCTTTTCCATATATACTGACAATATCCATTTAGAGAAAATTCAAATAATGTTTGTTTCTTCAGTTTTGAAAGAAAATAATTCAAAATTCTACACATGGACAGTGGGTATATAGTGATTTTTTTCTATGTTATCTAATCATTTGCATTATTATTTTTTTTTGACGAAACCAATGAGAGAATATACCATTTACGGTCTATACAAGTTTTATTGTTTTCACCAAATTCACATCACAGTTTTCTGTAAATGAAGGTTTTACACCAAAGAGAAAAGCCTCGCCGATAACACAATTGTACGCTAACAGATGGTTTCTTTTTGTATCATAACGTATGATAATCGGAAAGGTGACCTGACAGTCTTTTAGGAGGATATCATTATGATACTTTCCATCGGTCGATACTATAATGACATTTTTTGAACGATCACCTGTTACGTACACGTTGTGATCTGGATCTACTGTAATACTCGATGGAATTCTCAGGCTGTCATCTTTAAACTCCCACAGGACTGATCCGAACAAATCACAGCAGTATAAGACATTTTTGGCAGAGGCAGTAAGGAATAGCTTCGTTTCATTAGATGAAATATTACTGGTATCTCCCGAAGGACACGAAAACGATCTTACAATTATACCTGACAGATTCATTGCAGTTATCTTCCGTCCATCAATAACAACAAATAGCAGCCCGTCCTGACAAGTCATGCATCCAACTTCCCACACATCTGCTATGGTGTTTTCTAGGCCTTTATTGATGTCAATTATTTCTATGTTTCCTATCTGCCCATCTTCCAATGCGACAGGTTTAATGTAAAAGACAGCGATATGGTCATCGTTAATTATTGACATACATCTTGGTTTACCAGATAAACGGATTTTTCGGTTGCCACGTCCATCAGTATATCGAATAAGTAGTTCACAGTTACTATAACTGGTAAGAACTATCATGTCATTTATAATGACACAGTCAAAAAATAGATCAATGCAATCTAAAATAAGAAATACAATTTTTAGATAATGACAAAAGACTGATTGTAAGATTGAGACAATTGACACTCACACTATATAATGACTTATTTTGAAATGCCTATTAAACGTGATTGGTTCTGTTCATAAGCAGAAATCTTCGTGGACCAATAAAATTGAGAATGGAAATGGGGAATGTGTCAAAGAGACAACAACCCGACTATAGAACAGACAATGTTGTTTTATAGAGTGAAATTAGGAGCAAATAGGTCGATACATTTTGATGGTGAAACGATATTTTAATCATGAAAATATTTTCATTTCTATAGCAATCATATGCATTTGGCTAGAATAGTTCTTGTCTTAAAAACATCAAATCTCCAATTTTAAATCCATAGATCTATCTTTAAAAAAGCTATATTTTGTTTATGCATGAATTTCCGTTTGTATTTTGTAAAATAATATTATGATCACCGGCTCAATTTCACGATATAAATCACTTGCAGTGACAAGTCATTTCGCTGCAAGCCGTAAAACGTCGATGTTTTACAATTTTCTAGATAACCAATTGATTAAAAGATGAAAGTGGTGGCCATTTGATAGTTTTATACAATTGAAATTGAAATTTATACATCAACAACATATTATTTAGAAAAAAAAAATTGATGATTGTAAGAAGCTTTTTCAGTGATTTTAATTGTGTTTTAGACAAATGATTACCTATTTTGAATTAATTCAAACAGTTTTTTTTTCAGATAAAAAAAGATAAATGCAGTAATTTTTTTTTCGAATTACAGTTCGAATAACATTAACGGTATCAAATTTAATGAAGAAATAGCGCATTTTGACCCTAAATGTCTTTTCAATGATACTCCCGGATAAAATATTTGATTATCCTGAATGTAAAATATGTTCAAATGACGAAAGAAGACCAATTCAAAGAGAACACAAGGTACAGCCATTTCCGGACATTGAATTAGATTATTGAAAGAATGAGATATATTTACAAAATGTTATTACAACATTTTAATCAAACAATATCCGTCAAAGTAGTATGTAAAATTTTGCTAACCATTCAACCTCAACCTTTGTGTCTCTCAACACACACGTACATACAAAGTCACGCATAGAATATACTTTTAAAACAGATAATTCTTGAACCAACATATAACAAACCATACCTTGATGTTCTGATAACCTGTGTATTCTTCTTCTATCTATAACATCTGTAATAAGATAGTTCAATATATGTTAAGGGACACAAACATGTATTCCTGTACCAAAAAAGACGGTTAATCGACCTTTTATAAAGTGAATGGAATATGTAACATGTTGTTGACATGTAACTTAATTAATGTACTTTGATATTATTTATCTACGCGGTTCTTTATGTTGAATTTTCATACGTTTGTTTGTACTGTTTTCCTGTCACGTAGTGTTGTCATTTTAATGATATTTATTTAACATTGCCATATAAGCGGGGGATTTGAGTAGCCATTCAACTAGTTTCAATGTTCTTAAAATGTTCTGTACCAATTCAGGAATATGGCAGTTGTTATAAAAAAGTCCGTTTATATGTGTGTTTGTGCTTGTTTTCGTTAGACTTCAGTGTTTCTCTTGTTCCGTTGTCTTTCTCTTAAAGTAAATAAGTTCCCCTCTGTTTTAGTTTGTTACCCGGATTTGTTTTCTCTCAATCGATTTATGACTTTTGAACATCGGCATACTACTGTTACCTTTATTGCAGCAGAGCTTTGACAGAGGGATGTATATTTACAAAATGTCATAAAAGCAAAATTTAGTAAATCAATATCAATTGAATTAGTATGCAAAGTTTTGCCAAACATCCAACCTCAACCTCTGTGTCTCTCTACACACACGCACATACATATTCACGCATAGAACATACTTTTAAAACAGATAATGAATATAAGATCTTAATGTCAAATACATAATTATATAATACTCAGAGCTAAGGATATGAGGCTGTTGTAAAGCATTTGAACCAACAGATAACAAACCATACCTTGTCGTTCTGAGGAACTCGGTTTGTCTCTTCTATCTATAACATCTGTAATAAGATAGTTCAATATAGGTAAAGGGACACAAACATGGATTCCTGTACCAAAAAAGTGGATTACCTATCCTCTATATAAACTGAAGGGAATTGAACATTCGGTTTACATAGTACTTACTTTCTATTATATTATTTATTCATGCGTTTTTTTTTGTGCTGAGTGTTCTTGCGTTTATTTGTACTGTATTTATGTCGTGTAGTGTTGTCATTTTATTGATATTTTGTAACATTGTCATACAAACGGGAGGTTTGGCTTGCCATAAAACCAGGCTCAACCCACCATTTGTTCTTAAAATGTTCTGTTTCAAGTAAGAAATATGGCAGTTTTTATAAAATAGTCCATGTCTATGTCTGTTGGCGTTTTATTTTGTTGCACTTCAGTGTTTCTGTTGTTCCGTTGTTTTTCTCTTTAAGTTGATATGTTCCCTTCGGTTTTAGTTTGTAATCCGGATTTGTTTTCTCTCAATCGATTGATGACTTTTGAACAGCGATAAACTACTGCTGCCTTTACTGAATCAAAGCTTTGAAAGAGGGAGGTATATTTACAAAATGATATTACAGCAAATTTTAGTCCAACATTATCCATCAAAGTAGTATGTAAAGTTTTGCAAAACATCCAACCTCATCTTTTGTGTCTCTCTACACACAAGCACATACATAGTCACGCATATAACATATTTTTAAACATATCAAGCATGATAAGATCTAAATGTCAAATACAAATATAGTACTCAGAGCTAAGAGAATGAGCCTGTTGAATAGCATTTGAACTAACAGATTACAAACCATACCTTGTTGTCCTGAGAAACTGGGTATGTCTCTTCTATCTATAACATCTGTAATAAGATAGATCAATATAGGTTAAGGGACACAAACATGTATTCCTGCAAAGAAAAAAGTGGGTTACCCAAAGTGAAGGGAATTTAAAATACAGTTTTTATGTTATTAACGAACTTTTTATATGATTTATTTATGTGTTTCTCTGGTTTAAGTGTTCTTGTGTTTGTTTGTGCTATATTCCTGTCACGAAGTGTTATCATTGCCATATAGGAAACCAGGTTCAACCCACCATTTTTTCTTAAAATGTTCTGTACCAAGTCAAGAAATCAGTGTTTCTGATGTTCCGTTGTTTTTCTCTTAAAGTTGATGTGTTCCCCTTCGGTTTTAGTTTGTTTCCTTGATTTATTTTCTCTCTTATCTATTCATGACTGCTGAACAGCGGCATATGGTTGCCTTTATTAACCATAATATTTCATTTTTAATGCACTTATCTAAATAACGGCTAAATTATTTACCACTCAAATGCACATCACCTTTTCGATTATTTTGGTCAGATCGTAAAATATTTGTACAGTGCAACTACCATCAAATTAAGATCAATGTTCAATTGCACTAATTTCCAAGATATTGTCTGTATAAAAAGCGTAAAAAATAAACAACATTAAGAACAGACATTAACATTTTTAAAAGGTCCCTGCTATATACTGAATACCTACACAAAAAAAAAAAAAAACTCAAAACAAAACCGTCAAATATTCTTTATCTAAAATAGTTTTTTACTACTAAACTTTCAGGGATTTAAAAAAAAAAAACGTGTGTAATAAAACAGTAGTAAATTTAACTTTTTTTGGAGTGTATAAAATTGTTTAATTAAAAATCAAACACCAAGAGGCGGGTTTAGCAGGCCCTTAAAAAAAGTAGTATATTTAGGCCAAATTCTTAGATCAAAATGGCTTAACTCCAAAATCGAATCATAATTTCTTGTCGATATGCACGTATGCATATTATATCCTTATTATCTTCGAAGTTTTATGAAATTTTGTTGTGTGGGTTTGGAGGAGTTATGTTGACACACTGTTGCAATAGTATATTAAGTTCAAAATTATAAGTTCAAAGTGGATTAACTCCTAGAAATTAAGTGAATTATAATTTGATGTTGATATGCACATCTTCATAGTATATCCTTAGTATCAACAACCTTTTATGAATTCTGATTTGTATTTTCAGAAGAGTTGCGATGCCAAGAAGAGGACTAATGAATGGAATGACTGTTGGACGTACAGAATTGACGGACAGACGGATCAAAAATATTATACCATACAGTACTTTGTTCCTTGAGGTATAATAACTAGAAGCCGAAAGTAAACGATATTGGAGTTGCTTTATGGTGGATGGGGTCGGGTCGGGGGAGGGGGAGGTAGTTGGGTTGGCTGGCGGGGGGTACTTTGGGTAACAAAAACATTCATTTATTACACATAGGTACCAACAAATGTGCAGAAATGGCCTTGAGCTGATCTGTGGTAGTACCATTACTATTCATTATTTGATTATCTGTGGAGCATACATCTTTGAATGTAGTTCATACATGTAGTATAATCATATTCTTAAGGAGTTCCGTGTAATATTTACGATATTCCACCAACTTATCATTGACTGATTTGTCGGCCAATAGGAGTACAAAACGCATTGCGAGTACTTGATTTTGTTTCAATCAGATGATGTTTTATGTTTTACAGTTACACCATTGTCCTTGATGTAGGAAGGGTTGACGCCTTCAAATATATTAAACCTCGCAACATTGTTAATGTAACTGGCCCGAGTTAAAAAACCAGTAGTTCAGTGGTTGTCTTTGGTTCTTGCCTGCCATGTTTGATTTTGTATTGACCAAATGGATATTTTAAACAGTGTAGAGTAAGTGCTGTTGTGATATGTTTTTTTTAACGTAAATATATATTAAACAATACCTGGTAGTCTTGATGGACTTTTCAGGTCTGTGGGCGCTTAAATATAATTATATGTAGATAATATGTTAAGGTACACAACTATATAATTGATACACAAAAGGACATTGGTGTTGTAACATGAGATAATGAAGTGTCTTTAGCCAAAGAATTTAATGCTAACGCACCAAAATTAACATACTGCTAAATAACATACTATGTGAATGTTACAGTCTTTACTATCAGATCTTTAAATATCACACAGAGTAATGTAGTCCAATTAAGATCAACGATAAAGAACAGTGATTTGTTATTTTTCGTGATGTCGTCAGAATAATGAAATAATTTATGAAAATAAGAAACACTTTCAAAACAAAAATGGCAACACTTCAAATTAACTTAAATGACTTATGTTAACAGAAATTCTAGTTAAAATGATAACATCAGCTGAAATCATTTTTTTGGTGATTCGATTGTTCATCAGCTTAAACTTAATCAAATTCTTTATATAGTACTCGGGATTTTTTTTTAGACATCATCAATTAATTACAATCACGCTAAATGCTAATTGAACTACGAATTAACACATGACATTACCAGATAAAACAGCTTTCTGCAAAAAAAAGAGCAGACATATGAGCTGTTCTACAAAAAAAAAGATATAGTTAACAAATATAAATCAACGTAACTTGGGGAACCACTTTACCTTAAATGTAAATATAATTTAAAAGAAATGAAACATACGTTCCATTTGTATTTGGTTGTAATTTCGGAGGCCAAATACAACTCCGCATAATTTTCTTAATATTGATTCACTTTAACTCATAATGAGAATTTATAATAGATATACAATAATTTTAATTTACGTCATTGTATGATTAATTTCGTAATCAATATAAAACATCGTAATTGAAATATTTGAGCCATAATTTTCGTTGCATTTACGGTATGACAAGCTAGCTGTGTTCCTAGAATTATCTTCAAGATATGTCTGATGAACATGATGAATATGTCAAAAATATAGACGATAACGTATTTTGTTATTAAAAGAGTTTTGTTCATTTTCAAATACCAAAAAGAAGATTTCAAGAAAGACATTTTTTGTGGTTTGTGATTAAGATAATCCCATTTTGATACACTTATTTGTCGGATTTGTTTTGGCTGATTTACTACGTATAACACCTTCATTATTTTGGGAAACGATAAACAAGTATAAATAACACGTGTAGGGTTATGAGGAAGAAGACAAACATATGAGTATATTTATTGACTTTACCATTCAAAACTTTATACCTCCCTATATTGATAACAAAGAGTTAACGTTTAGGTCGTATACACACAAAATAAAACTATTTTTTTAAAGATATTTTTTTGTTGTGTTCAAATTAAAGGAATGAACCATAAGAACATAAAACAGACAAGCATTTGTATCGCCATGTTCTTGTTGCCATTGAAACAAGGCTGTCCTTGGATTATATAGGCGTTTTTGTGTATTTCAGCAAGTGACCGTTTATTGAAAGAAATTTAGACAAATTGATACAATATCTGTCACTGCAGCAGTTGTGTTAAGGATAATACAGGTGTAAAAATCATTAAAAATAAATATTGATAAAATTTGAGTCTATTTTTTAGATTTAAGTGTAGTTAAAAGTAGTATTTTTACTGAAAACTACTAGATTTTTGGCCATTTGAGCATGTTGAAATTATACCTCCGTAAATTTTACGGACGCCATCACGAGTTAGTTGACCGTTATGGAATAACCGTTTCACAGACGATATCGGATATGTTCCTTATGTTCTAACTACAATCCCCTTCCCTTTCACGAATGTGACCTTAAGAATTAGACTATTAACCGGATTTGTAATAAGACGAGCAACACGACGGGAACCACATGTGGAGCAGGATCTGCTTACCCTTCCGGAGCACCTCAGATCACCCAAGTTTTTGGTGACCTTCGTGTTGCTTAGTCTTTAGTTTTCTTTGTTGTTTATTGTGCACTATTATTTGTCTATATGTCTTTTTCTTTTTTAGCGATGGCTTTGTCAGTTTATTTTCTATCTATGAGTTTGATTGTCCCTCTGGTATCTTTTGCCCCTCATTTATTTAAAAAAAGCAGAATTTTCATAATATATCATTATGAAAAAATGAATTAGGGGTTGTTTTCTCATTAAATTGACCCAAAAATATTATTGAGGCAATATGTCTGAATGTCACCCACATAGATATTGTATTGATCCTTACCCTTATATACAATGGCTGTATTAGTCAGACCTTTACAAAAATATTAAAAATATTCAAAATTTAAGGAAAATGTATCACCTTTATTTTTTAAAAACAATTTAAAACATAGTAGCAAATCTTATCTCCTTTAATATCAAATATCTATAGTACTAAAGTACAGACTAAAGCTCCTAAACGGACTGAAGTGAGTTATGTCCCCTTTTTGGAATTCTTTGGTAATAAGAGAGAGAAGATCTACCAGGGATGGGGTAATCGTAATCTGTAATCGTAATCGATTGTAATTGATTACATTTTTTCAAATAATTGACAGTTATCTGTTATCGACAACATTTTCGATTACATGTGATCGTAATTTAATTGATTACAGCAAAAATTAGGATGTAATCATCGATTACGTTTCGATAAAATTTCGATTACTTTAGTAAAATAGTTTAATGAAATAAAACCTAGTTTAAATGAAAATAGACAACTGCATGCTTCCATCAGTTTATAGTACTGATAAAATAGAATGTATTAATATTACTTGTCAATAATGAGAGTTTATCAATTACCTCATTTAGATCTGTTGTCTCAAGCTGCATTATGATTAACCAGATCTCCTAACAAATTTTTACTATATTTCCAGCTTTTGAAACAAATGACTTTCAATGCTTGTCAATAATTTAAGACCTTTTATATTTAACAAAAAAATGTTAAGATTAAGAAAATAGATTCAAAATAGGAAAATACATGTAGTCTAAGTTAAGTTCTGTACTACATTGAAGTAGTAAGCTTATTTGTAATACAATTTCTTGAAGCATAATTTTCAATAAGAGTTCGAATTTTAGCTTAGAATAGATAAACTGTTGATTTTTCATAATGTTATGATGTCAAAATTAGGAAAGAATACAAATCCTTTTGACAATGAACCAATGCATTGACATTTTTGTTCGGTAATAGATACATGTATCCCATTTTGACACAAAAATGTATATTGTTTATGATTTTGAATAGAAAACAAAGAATTCTAAACAACCTTCTTGTTGTTACTAATCAGATGATTGTAGACTTTGATCAATAAGATACAGACTTTGTTTTGATTTCAATTATGTCTAATTAAGTGAGAGATTTAATACATTATATTGCCCTAGGATTAAAATTGTTCCCCATTGGCAGTTTTATAACCTGTTATTAAGGGGATTATCCAAACAAAAGGATAAATTCATTCATGTAATTTAAATTATAAATTTCCATCTTTTTAAATTAGCTGAACTAATTCTTATTTTTTATATAATTTTTTTCAGTGGAGACCTCTCACATTGTAATGAATCATATTCAAATATACCTGTTAATAATGAGTTAATATTAAACTTTAGTCAGTATGACAGCAAAAATTTGCCAACTATGGAGAAAATGAGCTACAATATAAAGAAGTGATTGATGCAATGGTCGATGTCATTTCAGGAATGTTCTCATGTTTATCATCCCTCACACAAGAATTTTTAAATAGTTTAGATCATCTGTAAGAGCTTCCATCTAGAAAACAACTGTCAACATAACATTTGGAAACAATGCTTTAAAAGCTGTTTTTGTAAAGTTCTAAATTTCCACCTAAATAAGTTGAGCAACATAATTGTGTTTAAACTTTCTTCATTATTTTATAGCAGGTTATTGACAGTAATCGATAAGTAATGCAATTGCAATCGATTACATACAAAAATCAGAGTAATCGATTATTAATTGATTGCACAAAAATCCTTCACGTAATCGATTATTAATCGATTACATGTGTCAGTAATCGTGCCCATCCCTGAGATCTACACAATCAATATGGTGTTTAGAATGATCTTTCTTTAGGAAATTTGCACCAAAAAATTGTTATCCAGAATAACCCTTAAACTTGGACAGTTTTAAGCAACAGACCAATACTTTTTGCAGAGCTAGGGCTTATGCAGTGTGACTCTAATCCTCTTGAAAAACTACCATTTGTCAACACATTTAAATTTAATTCATCAAACATCAGCAAACAGGAGTAGAAAACAATCGTTTGACGTTCAAGTAATGATAAATGCACACTAAAAACAAAGTAGGAGCAAATTAACGTCTATTTCTGCACATAGAAAGAAAGCGGTAGAATATGTTACAATCATTTACAGAAATACTGGATATGTTTTGCCGGTTGGAACACGTATGTAACAATATTTAATACTGATAATAAAATGAAACAGTTTTATGATATGTGTGTGATACTTACTGATTTTTTTAGGATAAATGTAAGTGATACATCAATCCAAAACCAAAACATGCAGGGGGGTATCTGTAGCTCTTAGGTTCTTATGCTATTTTCTGACTATTTGCAGACCATAGACCTGAACCTTGGTCGCAATTATTAATGTTTTGAAATAGGAAAAAATCCGTAGCTCTATGGTCCGCAAATAAACAAAACATATCGCAAGGACCTTAGAGCTACGGTTCCGTAGCTAACAAGAGGGTATCAATGGGGGTCCTTCATTTCTGTATTCTGTATATTAAAGGACATTTTTTTTTATTCTGTATATGTTTTGCCCATTATTCTCCATTCTTTACATTTAAGGACCACATTATTCATTTGTTATTCTATATTCTTTATTTTTAAGGTCTATTTTTTTTTATTATTTATATTTTCCCCCAATATTTTCCATTCTGTGAACCCCCATCCACACCCTCATGCCGAATTCACAATACACCTTATCGCTGTTTATACAAATCCGGATAAGTTCTGAAATTACACAACTTTTAAATCCAATTGCAGAGACGGATCAAGAAATATTCATAAGATAGGGCCTGCTCCAGTTATGAT